GATAAGGTGTTTTAAGGGAGATTCAGAAATGGAAGTATCACACAACTTGCTGGAAGACTAAATGAGTATATTTTATTTGGCAAAAGTAAAATATAATATTTGAAAGGCCAACAACTAATCTTAATATAATTAATACAACATATTCAATGATCAGAATTAATCAAGCAGTTATCATGAAAGTTTTTTATGTTTTAAGGCATATAAAACACAAAAGTTTAAAATAATGATACCTGTCTTTAAATAACTACAATTCTAGCTCTAGTGAAAAGACAAGAACACAAAAAGACCAGCCCTAAGGAGGCAATTTTAATTCTGAATATAATTTCATCTAGAACGTGGACAACCAGCAGCAGGTGACTCTCCCACTCATACCCTACATGCTGCTGCTGCTAAGTCACGTCAGCTGTGTCTGACTCTGTGCGACCCCAAAGACGGCAGCACACCAGGCTCCCCCGTCCCTGGGATTCTCCAGGCAAGAAGACTGGAGTGGGTTGCCATTTCCTTCTCCAATGCATGAAAGTGAAAAGTGAAAGTGAAGTCACTCAGTCATATCCGACTCTTAGACCCCGTGGCTGCAGCCCACCAGGCTCCTCTGTCCATGGGATTTTCCAGGCAAGAGGACTGGAGGGGGGTGCCACTGCCTTCTCCCATACTCTACATAGCTTTGGGAAAATTTAGTTTTGGCTTTAATGGCAATCTTATGAAAAGCCTCTAGATGGCGATATTGTCTTCAAATGTTTAAATATCTTTCATTCATGTTAACTTTCAGAACCAAGAAATAATACATGTTTTTCAATAAACTATAAATATCCTAGATATTTGAAATACTTTATCTTAAAAGTTGAGAATAAAGAAATACAGAGAGATTAACTGACTTGTTCAATATTCCATAACTGGTAAAATGGCAATGCCAGGCCTAGAGCCAAAGTTTCCTGACTTAGGCCTAAGGATTTTGAGTTCTTAGCATTAAAGAAGTAAATGTTCTAAGCTATAGATTCTTCTCTAAAAGTGAAATTAATTTCAACTTATATACAAACTGTATTTTTTTATTCACATGAGTCAATCACATAAAGAAAAAAAGATACCCCATTACTTGTGAAAGCACTGGGGTCAAGACCTAGTAAAATAAACACTCAGAAAGAGGGTTTATCATTGTGGCTGAAAATTTTGGGAAAAGTTAGACCTAAATAAGCTACTAAAAAACTGAATGGATACAAAAAAATGGGGCAAAAACTCCCATTCTCAAGTTCTTTTCTTCCCCCAAGGCCAAATAAGCAAAGCATTAATACTGATGTTCAAAATGAGAAAATGATTCTTCAACTTTAAAGGAATTAGTTTCCCAAGAGTTTTAGCCCAGTGGTTCACCTTTTTTCTACTGCAGCACACAGGACAGAAGAGATTCATATTGGTCACCCTCTACTTCATGTTCAATTCCTACACACTAGCTGTAGCTCTGTCTGGTTTTTCTCACTCAAAAAAAGACATACCAAATCAAATTACAATGATAAGCTGAAATTTGCTCTATTTTAAACAAAAAACCCTAGGATAATTTCTTGAATACTTCATTCTATCTGTGGCTAATTACACTCAGAAAGTTTTTCAAAATTATCTTAACATTTAGATTGGGGTATTATGGTTTCTTTCTGTTTCTAATAACAAAGAAATATGGATGAAAATCATTTGCTGTATATTTCAAAAAATAGCTAGAGAATTTGGGAAAATACAGTGAATCTGCTAAAGGCAGTGAATTTCAGTATTATTAAAATTTAATAGAATAATATGTTTAAAGTCATTCCATTAAGTTAAGCCTACTTCTTTACTGATGTTAAAGAAATTGGAATTATTTGAATCTGAAAAAAATATTTTTTTAAAACTACATAACCCTGAAGTATAGGATAAATGCTTGTAAAACAAAATGATACACCAAATTTTTAACATTTGAATAAGCAGAAATTTTCAGTATACATTACCTGAAGATGCAAAGTTATGGGATTTTAAATTTTCAATTTAGCAAGACAATGAGGACCAAGCCTCAGTTAACACAACAAACCCCTGACACTCCACCGAAACCCAACATTCCATTAAAAAAAAAATTCAATGGGAGAGTGGATTCAGACATAAAATTTGGCTCTATAGGTTTTCTAGAACATACTTATTCCAATTAGGACAAATATCTGCATAAAAAGAATCATCAGATGGAAAATGGTAATTTAGCTGTTCTCCATCTCCACTGAAACCTAACATGAAAACAAGAGGAATAGGATTTATAGTCAAAGTATGAGAGACATATACTTGTATTAAGAAAGGAAAACCAAACTACAATGAAATCTCAGTGAACCAGCTATGCAAGTGAAGTTTTGGATTAAATACACTTATGAACCTATATATTTTTTTCCTTCAAATTCTATCAAGATGCATTATTATATATGATGGAAAGAATAAACAACTGGAAGTTGGGAACTTCAAGCTTCATACTCTAGATGATATTAACAAATACTTTTGAATATTTCAAGTCACTTAATCCTTTCTGGGTCTGTTTTCTCAAATGGAAATGAAGCTGTTAAGCTCTAAAACAACTTAAGCAAACAAGCAAAAGCATACAACTTTTCCTTTAAATATTAATTAGGTAAAACAAATAAAGGCAGAAAAGCTAGGGCTAAAGTACAAATAGGGGACTGGAACACTGTCCATTACAACCTGTCCATACCATGGTCTGAGGTTAAAAAGAACTCTAACGTATCCCAAACAAACCATTTAAAAACCTCTAAATTCTAAAAATAATTTTCAGAATTATGTTACCGGCACTACAAGATTAAAATATAAACCAATTTTTAATTCTAAAAAAAGGATTTTTAAAAAGAATTTTTTTCAAGTAACCAGAAACTGGCAAACATTCAGTGAACATAAACACCTATTGTTAAGAATTCCAAATTAACTGACACTTTACTATATCCAATTATGATTACACCAAGTAAATTACAGAATTGCCATAAAGAATTTACATATATAACATATACCAATATAAATAATTATATAATATATAATTATATAATTGTTGCATATAATTTATATATTATATATATGTATATTATATATAATAACATATCAGCATATAATAAAAATAATATAAAGAAACAACACTGAGAAGAAAAGAATGGGCTAAACTGGAGATATTGAACCCAGTGTTAAATTCATTGTTTATCTCCATAAGCTGCACTATTTCAGAAAAATATTTTATTTTGAAATTCCATATTATTCTTCTGAGAATAATCCCAGTAAGACAAGTCATATTTCAGTACTATCATTTCTTGGAGCTAAATGGGATACAAATTCCAACCTTAGCCAGAGAGACTCCACATAAAGAAGTAGGTTGTTCAAAGGAAACTATAAGCAAGGTGAAAAGACAGCCCTCAGATTGGGAGAAAATAACAGCAAACGAAGCAACAGACAAAGGATTAATCTCAAAAATATACAAGCAACTCCTCCAGCTCAACTCCAGAAAAATAAATGACCCAATCAAAAAATGGGCCAAAGAACTGAACAGACATTTCTCCAAGGAAGACATACAGATGGCTAACAAACACATGAAAAGATGCTCAACATCACTCATTATCAGAGAAATGCAAATCAAAACCACAATGAGGTACCATTACACGCCAGTCAGGATGGCTGCTATCCAAAAGTCTACAAGCAATAAATGCGGGAGAGGGTGTGGAGAAAAGGGAACCCTCTTACACTGTTGGTGGGAATGCAAATTAGTACAGCCACTATGGAAAACAGTGTGGAGATTTCTTAAAAAGCTGGAAATAGAACTGCCATATGACCCAGCAATCCCACTTCTGGGCATACACACCGAGGAAACCAGATCTGAAAGAGACACGTGCACCCCAATGTTCATCGCAGCACTGTTTATAATAGCCAGGACATGGAAGCAACCTAGATGCCCATCAGCAGACGAATGGATGAGGAAGCTGTGGTACATATACACCATGGAATATTACTCAGCCATTAAAAAGAATTCGTTTGAATCAGTTCTAATGAGATGGATGAAACTGGAGCCCATTATACAGAGCGAAGTAAGCCAGAAAGATAAAGACCATTACAGTATACTAACACATATATATGGAATTTAGAAAGATGGTAACGATAACCCTATATGCAAAACAGAAAAAGAGACTCCAATGTATAGAACAGACTTGTGGACTCTGGGAGAAGGCGAGGGTGGGATGTTTCAAGAGAACAGCATCGAAACACGTATATTATCTAGGGTGAAACAGATCACCAGCCCAGGTTGGGTGCATGAGACAAGTGCTCGGGCCTGGTGCACTGGGAAGACCCAGAGGGATCGGGTGGAGAGGGAGGTGGGAGGGGGGACCGGGATGGGGAATACATGTAAATCCATGGCTAATTCATTTCAATGTATGACAAAAACCACTGCAATGATGTAAAGTAATTAGCCTCCAACTAATAAAAATAAATGAAAAAAAAAAAAAAAGAAGTAGGTTGTTTAAGTAAAAGGTTCTAAGGAATTTAAAAGAAACAGACACAACTACAGATATAACTATTGTTAAAAATATGTTTAAGGAAGTTCAAAATAATAATTAAAACAAAAAATAAGCTTAAATGTGTAACATAAAGAGCATTTACTAAGATTTTTCATTAAACACAAAGTCACAAACATCTTAACATCTAGATGTGCATTAGAAATTTAAGTATTAATTCTTTTTAAAAAATTCCTAAGCTCATTTAAGAAACTTTTAAAAGAAAATTATATTTACCTCTAGATATTAAAAATATCTTTTATTTTTACATTGATTTAATGTACAAATTCTTATAAATAAAAGTCAATCCAACATGATATAAAACTTCATTATTTCATGTATTTAACCATTTCATGTTAACCCTTTTGTTAAAAAAATAAACTATCAATAAGGTATTCTTAATATAGCTTCTAAAACTGGTCACTAATGTCTACAATATTCATTTGAAAATATTCTTACCTTTCTTCTGAGCTATATAATCGAGCAAGTCCAAAATCTGCAAGCTTTATCTGTCCTCTGATGGTAGTAAGATAAAATGAACAAAAAGTATTAGTTTACTCTGAATTGATGGTACACATTCTCTTCTATTTCTAGAACTAACTAGTAACTCTGATTACATTGCAGACCCAAGGCTCTATAGGAAAAGACAAATAGATAAGCTCACAACAATATAAGGCCAAAAAATCAGTACTTTTCTTTGGATAATTTCAGCTACTATTACACCAGTACTATTATTATATATCTTATTATACATAAAAGTACTAATATAACAAGTTTCTCAGTATTATCCAGTTCCTATTTAGAAAAGTATACTTCAATGAAAATTAACAAAGTGAAGTAACTTGTATTACTTCTGTAATAATACAGATTACCAGCTCAATTCCAGCCAAAAATGCACAAAACCAAACCATATCATTTTAAATGTATGTTTAGTTTTCCAGTTCTTAAGAGTGACTAGGTACTCTACAGAATACTTCCTATTAATTAAAATCAGGATCAGGCATGCCTCACTTTAACAAACAGTAGCAATTACAACAGAATTATCAGAGTTCAGGTTATGCTACCAGTAAAATATTTAACATAAACTCTGAATATATATGTAGGTATGTACATACATGTGTATAACACTTCAGAAATAGTTCACTTAAAAAATGTGATGACTTTTTAAAAATAATCCAAATTAAGAAAGACTCTAAAATCCATTTTTAATCTAAAACTAAAATCATATCATTATTAGAAGAATCATTCATATTATTTAGACTATCACACAAGAAGGTCAACTAAGTGTTGGGAGCCGGGAGGTGCTTATAATGCTCAGTAGTCTTCCTGTCCCTTTCTCTCCTCCACTGAGGTATGACAGTTGTTGTTCAGTAACAACAAAAGGAGGGGTTAAATAGTTTCCCCAAGTTCACTAAAACTAGTATATAGTTTACGGATACTAGTATATAGCTTCAAACTACTCCGTGGATTCAAACCCAAGCCTTTATGACTCCTAAATCCCTGTAAGGTTAAACAAACTCTAAAGAGAACTTTAGAGGTCTGATTCACTTAATTCTATTAAATTGCTTAGATTGAGGAGATGGAATGTCAACAAGTCAACAAAGTTTACCTTACATACATTACAAACTATTACTGGAATTTAATTAACTGAAGTATATTTAACACAACTTCAGATGTAGTCCAAACTGTAATACTGATTATGTTAAAAATATTTTAAGCAATAAAAAACTAATTTTTAAATCTCATGAAGGTAGACAATATATGATTCATTTTAAACATATATGTCAAACTTTTATCATACCTATTGTTTAGAAGAATATTTGAACATTTGATATCTCGATGCAAAAAGTTCTTCTTATGACAATAATCCAGACCTTCCATGAGCTGTCTCATAAATGACTTTATGTGATTTTCATTAAAATGAACCAAGCCTGATTCCAACAGTCCCATCAGATCATGGTCCATATATTCAAACACCAGATAAAATGCACCTAAGAACAACAATAATTAATACATTAAAGATTTTATTCATATAACTTTACCACAGGTTCAAAATTTTTAAAAAATAAAGAGCTGGGGAGAAAACTAATCCTTTAAAAGAACTGATATTTTTGTCATTTAATAATGTTTACTCTCTTCTCTCTGAATCTAGTATTAATAACATCCCAAGGAGATATCTAACCAACTTTCTTCCCCTAAAGAAAATTGCTATGATATAAAATCAACACAGCTAATTTCCACACTGCACAGTTTCTGGGTATGATTAATATAAAATCAATTCTTAGCTGTTTTACTTACTGAACGAACTGTTTCTTGGCAAAAGCCGAAAACAATCAGTATAGTTCATCAAAGAAAATTTAAAGATGTTACAAGAGTTACTTTTAATAAAAAAATAGTCTGGGTCCAGTTGGGCTTTATATCTAGTAAGTCTTTAATAAATGTAAAATTTAATTCTTTTATACAGCTCCAGAGTATGTGAAAGCATACAAATTACAGCTTAATTTTGTAAAACCAACTTATTAATCCTACTACTAAAACATACAACAGCACATAGCACATACACACGATACAAATGATAAATTCAAAATTCTTAAACAAAACTTGCACAAACTGAATCCAAAGCTATTATCTATACATATCTCACTCAAGCAGTTTAATTTACCAATTCAAGACTGAAAAAGCTAATAAAATTCCATACATCTATCTTTCAAAGTAAAAAAGCCATCAGTACACCAAATAGACATCAAAATATAATCATAATCAGTTCCTGAAGAAAAGCAGAGCAAAGGGAACCCCCTGTCAGCCCAGTGGTCAGCACTGCACTGGGCAACTTCACAGCAGGGCCGAGGTTTAAGCCGTGCTCTGGGGGTCCTGCAAGTCACACGGAAAGGCAAAAAACCAAAAATAAAAAAACAACTAAAGCAAAGATTTCATAGTAACCTTGCAATAGGATATTTTCTTTACAACAGTATTTCCCTGAAACAAACAATTACTGTCATATTTAACAGTAAGATGCCAGGTGTTGTACACAAGACAAAAATGTTCATTATTACTAAACTGTTCTAGAACTTGGTAAGTAAAACTAGAAACAAACACTGAAAGTGACAAAAACAAGATTACTGGTAGAAGAGATAACAACCTCTGCAGATCCAAAAGAATTTTTAAAAAAGAAAAAGACACATCAGAAAAATTGTATACAAAAAAGGTTAGTCCAGGGGCTTCCCTTGTAGCTCAGCTGCTAAAGAATCTGCCTGCAATGCGGGAGACCTGGGTTCGTTCCATGGGTTGAGAAGATCCCCTGGAGAAGGGAAAGGCTACCTACTCCAGTATTCTGGCCTGGAGAATTCCATGGACTATATAGTCTATGGAGTTGCAAAGAGTCGGACAGGACTGAACGACTCACTTTCACACAAAAAAAAGACTTCTTACATGCCAGCAACAATTAGAACTTAAAATCGGAAACAATTAGAAAGTACAATTTAAATGACTCCACAATAGAAGAAGAAATACTAAAAATGACACATGGACATCAACAGATGGTCAACACCAAAATCAGACTGATCATATTCTTTGCAGCCAAAGATGAAGAAGCTCTATAGTGTCAGCAAAAACAAGACCAGGAGCTGACTATGGCTCAGATCATGAACTCCTTATTGCCAAATTCAGAATAAAATTGAAGAAAGTGGGGAAAACCACTAGACCATTCAGGTATGACCCAAATCAAATCCCTTATGACTATACAGGGGAAGTGAGAAATAGATTTAAGGGACCAGATCTGATAGACAGAGTGCCTGATGAACTATGGACGGAGGTTCGTGACACTGTACAGAAGACAGGAATCAAGACCATCCCCGAGAAAAAGAAATGCAAAAAAGCAAACTGGCTATCTGAGGACTTACAAATAGCTGTGAAAAGAAGATAAGCGAAAAGCAAAGGAGAAAAGGAAAGATATTCCCATTTCAATGTAGAGTTCCAAAGAATAGCAAGGAGAGATAAGAAAGCCATCCTCATCGATCAATGCAAAGAGAGGAAAACAACAGAATGGGAAACACTAGAGATCTCTTCAAGAAAATTAGAGATACCAAGGGAACATTTCTTACAAAGAAGGGCACAATAAAGGACAGAAATTGTTTGGACCTAACAGAAGCACAAGATATTAAGAATAGGTGGCAAGAATACACAGAAGAACTATACAGAAAAGATCTTCACGACCCATATAATCATGATGGTGTGATCATCCACCTAGAGACAGACATCCTGGAATGTGAAGTCAAGTGGGCCTTCGGAAGCATCAACATGAACAAAGCTAGTGGAGGAGATGGAATTCCAGTGAAGCTATTTCAAATCCTAAAAGCTGATGCTGTGAAAGTGCTGCACTCACTATTTCACCAAATTTGGACAACAGCAGTGGCCACAGGACTGGAAAAGGTCAGTTTTCATTCCAATCCCAAAGAAAGGCAATGCCAAAGAATGCTCAAACTACCGCACAATTGCACTTATCTCACATGTTAGTAAAGTAATGCCCAAAATTCTCCAAGCCAGGCTTTAACAGCACGTGAACCATGAGCTTACAGATGTTCAAGCTGGTTTTAGAAAAGGCAAAGAAACCAGAGATCAAATTGCCAACGTCCGCTGGATCATTGAAAAAGAAAGAGTTCCAGAAACACACCTATTTCTGCTTTATTGATTATGCCAAAGCCTTTGACTGTATGGATCACAAAAAACTGGAAAATTCTGAAGGAAATGGGAATACCAGACCACGCGACCTGCCTCTTGAGAAACCTGTTTGCAGGTCAGGAAGCAACAGTTAGAACTGGACAAGGAACAATGAATGGACCAGATCCAAATAGGGAAAGGGGTACGTGAAGCCTGCATATTGCCACCCTGTTTATTTAACTTAAATGCAAAGTACATCATGGGAAACACTGGGCTGGATGAAGCACAAGCTGGAATCAAGATTGCTAGGAGAAACATCAATAACCTCAGATATGCAGATGACCCCACCCTTACAGCAGAGAGCAAAGAAAAACTAAACAGCCTCTTGATCAAAGTAGAAGAGGAGAGTGAAAAAGTTGACTTAAAACACAACATTCAGAAAACTAAGATCATGGCATCTGGTCCCATCACTTCATGACAAATAGACGGGGAAACAGTGGAAACAGTGACAGGCTTTATTTTGGGAGGCTCCAAAATCACTGCAGATGGGGACTGTAGCCATGAAATTAAAAGACGCTCGCTCCTTGGAATAAAAGTTATGAGCAACCAAGACAGCATATTAGAAAGCAGAGACATTACTTTGCTAACAAAGGTCCATCTAGTCAAACCTATGGTTTTTCCAGTAGTCATGTATGGATGTGAGAGTCGAACTATAAAGAAAGCTGAGCACAGAAGAATTGATGCTTTTGAACTATGGTGTTGGAGAAGACTCTTGAGAGTCCCTTGGACTGCAAGGAGATCAAACCAGTCCATCCTAAAGGAAATCAGTCCTGAGTATTCATTGGAAGAACTGATGCTGAAGCTGAAACTACAATACTTTGGCCACCTGATGCGAAGAGCTGACTCAATTGAAAAGACTCTGATGCTGAAAAAGACTGAAGGCGGGAGGAGAAGGGAAAACAAAGGATGAGATGGTTGGATGGCATCACCGACTCGATGGACATGACTTTGAGTAAACTCCAGGAGTTGGTGATGGACAGGGAGGCCTGGCATGCTTCAGTCCACGGGGTCGCAAAGAGTCCATGGGGACACGACTGAGCAACTGAACTGTACCAAGAAAAGACCAGGACAACAATAGAAAATGAAAAATTAATGAACTGTCAATATGCAGATGCCTATGTATTTAATCTCACCATTAATCAAAATATACAAATCATATACCACTTTTAACTAAGAGGAAAATATTTCCAAAGGAAAATTACACAGTATTAACGTAGGTATGACGTAAACATACACTGTTATATGCTGCCAGTAGTAAACCGGCATATTTACAAAATATAATTTGGCAAAGGCACCCCCCAAAGCTTTGAAAATCCTGTGCCCTTTAACATAGCAAAGGCTTTTATAGATATTTATCACAAGGAAATAAAGACATAAAAGATTTCTCTATAAGCATGTTCACTAAAAGCAATATAACAACACCTAAAAACATTAAGCCAAAAAAAAAAAAAAACACCCCACAAACAGGTATTATGGTACATCTATACCATACCGTGCACTCTGAAAAATATTGCAGAAGTATGTTGCTGATATGGAAATATACTGATGATAATGAGTTAAAGTAGGTTATCAAAGATTATGCAGTTGATACCTCTATCTCACTATCTTTGATGGTATACATAACACAGTTAATTATACAAAGAATATCCAGAGTTGAACAGCCCAATACAGTAATTACTAGCTACATGTGGCTACCGCTCACTTGAAATGTGGATGTTCTAAATGTTCCTGAAGTATAAAACATACACTGATTTCAAAAAGTCACAAGTAAAAAAATTCATATCTTGATAATTTGTTAAATTGTTTCCAAATAATTTACTGACATATTGGGTTAAATAAAAATATTATTAAAACTAACAGTTTTAAAAAATAAAAATAAAAAAATAAAAACTAAATAAAATAAAAAAAATAAAACTAACAGATTGTGTTAAGTAAAACAGAATGTCTTGCATTCTATTTCTACTGGTCCAACTCTTTGTGACCCTCTGGACTATAGCCCACCAGACTCCTCTGTCCATGGGGATGCTGCAGGCAAGAACACTAGAGTAGGTTGCCATGTCCTCCTCCAGGGATCTTCCCAACCCAGGGATTGAACCCAGGTCTCCTGCAATGCAGGCAGATTCTGTACCGTCCCAGCCACCAGGGAAGCCCATACTGAATTAAGAATAAGAAGTGAAACATGAGTGCTAAAACTATCCCCACTTGTAGATAACATGAACTTTTGTTCTCTGAAAAGACATACACATTCAATATAAAAAAAAATTATTAAAAACTT